CTTATCATTGACTATAAAATAAGTTGGCAGACATAAGACGTTACATGAAGGTTGAAGAAACCGAAATGAAAAGTCGATTTTCATGGCGTATCAGTTTCATGTCGAAACGACCGGGTTGTTACCAATTACTTTTACTGCGAAAGTATTGTAGTCAATGGGATGGGAATAAAAAATGGGATTGTCTTTGCGACGGCCCCGTTGGCTTCTGGAAGGGTGCGGGGGGCGGGGGACGAGTCACTTGTTGCATGAAGGCGGGGCGGAGACGCCCAACGCCCATCACACCACGTGTAGTGAAACTTCAGAAAACCCTGAACATGTTATTGTTAGTTGACGATGTTGGACTATCATGGTTAGATTAACAAAGATAGTTGTTTCAACTTTCAGCATCATTCGAAAGTCATACCCCACTTTACGCTATGACTTAAGAATTGGGTCAGTAGGAAAATAACATTGGAGACGTGTTTTATGAAAATTAAAGTCTTAATTAATAGTAGGTTAACAATTAAGTGCAACAATGTATAACAATTACCACTGTCACAAAATAAGTGACTGTTACAAAAGGACAGTCGTCGCGCGTCGTTTAACTATGATTAACTAATTACTCCTGTAGCTTCGTTTTCGATACCGGGCTACAAAAAGTCTTTATATTTTATCTGACGATAATCTATCTCAGTTCCAAATTTTATGGATTACACAAAAGCACGTGTGTGTTTTGTTTTTTACTCTGGAAATAAATAAGTTCCTATTTAAGTGTGGGTGTGTGTGTGTGTGTGTGTTTGTGTGTGTGAAACACACATTTAAACCCTCATAAACTTTTGTATTTATAATATTAGTAGCATTCTACAAGTATTAGGTCATCTTACTCTGTCAATCGACTCCATTTTGTATTCCCAATAATAGTCGTATGAGGATAATCGACATAAAACCTCGTGCTAGGCTATTTATAAATTGTGTTAACAAAAGGTCCGAATTAAGGAAAATTATAAATTAACATTATTTTATAATTTTAACACCTACTTATTTATTAATTATCAATTCATCATATTCATTGTGTTGTACTATAGGTATTAGAGAGATATATTAAAAATACAAAAAAGTTTATATGTAGTTAAATTCTTTTAAATTAATGTTACTTCATCTTTGAATTATAACATCAATAAAATGTCTTTCTTAACTAAATCTCAAATTGCCCTTTCAAAACTTTTACTGGATAAAACCGTCAAAATGTGAGGCGTCCTAATTTGTATCGTCATAATCTCAACGCATTTGGGGGTTCCGCAATAAAATCATAAAATCGTTAGCTTGGGGCGTGCTTCTGTAGACAGTTAACACGTAATCCAATTTAGACGGTCGACATCAACGATGAATGCTAAAAGAGCGCCGCGAAATTATTATACACCCTTGAATATTTTTTTCTAATATTCTTGAAGAATAATGAAGTTTTTGGAACCACTTGATCTTTATTCAAGGAGGTGGTAGAACTGATACTGGTTTTAGTACGATTAGAGACATAAGGTTTATTTTACATCTAAATTAAAAACCCTAAGCTATGATACTTTGATACTACACTTAGTCTGTTTATATTAAAACTTTTGTGGGACATACTAAATTAATTATTTATAATAGCAGCGACAGTCACCGCGTGGAGGGTCGCGGAAAGCTGCTCATAAATATGAGGCTCAAGTATGGCTACAAACTAGTCGAGTTCCTCGTCAAATAGTTACGCGAGTAAGCCGAAAACATAATAATTAATACACTGTGACTACTTAGTTACTAAACTTTTAAGAAACATAATTAATTAAATGTAATTTTAGATTACTCAGCAAATACACCATAATTCACAACAAGGTCATTTTTGAATCACATAATTTATTGTTAGATTTTTTCTGATACTTTGAAAAGAGCCATTCTATTAAAATTCAAATCAAAAATCTCAAAATGTCAACGGAACTTCAGAAATGTTCGAGAAACTTAATGTAGTAGCGGCGGCGTGACTTTAATAAGCAGAAAAGAATATTTACGCTTCCAAGTAAGTAGGGCTGGGGGGAGGTAGTCACGTAAATCTCAAGAAAATTGACATCCCTAACTATGTTGGCACTCATTTAAATAACTGATCAAACTCTCTAGCAAGCTGTCAAACAATAAAGAGCTAACAACTTATTCGATATGCGTCGTTCATCCTCCAGACTTATATTGAACGTCAAAATTGAGCCGCAACTTTTGAATTGATCGCATTTTTTTTACTTACCTAAATTGAGATTCGATGTGGCCTGGTCTTTTTTGTGCATACTTTTATAAAACTAATTTTTTTAATGAAATGTTTTATGTTGATAAAGTTAAACTTCTATGTCTTTTTAGGACATCAGTTGTAATGGTCTAAAACATAATATCTCTATTTTCTGGTTATTTAGACTAGTAATGGGTAAGTAGGGCACTTGAATCTTTGGTGATTGGAGAGATTCTAACGTTGTATTCCTTTACATATTTTACGGTGCCGAGCAACTTGGTGACAAAAATAAATTGCAAAGTAAACCAATGCATCGATGCAGTAAATAGTTATCCATTTAAGTAATGACAAACTGTCATATCTGTCAAGTCAGTTATGGAAATGAAAATCTTAATACTGTAATAAAAATTCTGAAATAAATGTATAATTCATCACTCATCAGAGAGGCCATGCGGCAAATATTTAAAGTACTTACCTATAAGGCAACACTGACTTGGGTATAAAAAGAGCAAAGGAGATTTTTATTAAGTAGAAGGGCGGGGGGAGAATATAATGAATAAATTCCGTGTAAGGACCCCTCCTAACGCAATTGAAAACTTTTAACAAGTGCCGGGAAATCGTGTGTAAAGGTGGGCCCGTACCTAATTACGCAGCTAGCCGAATGGAATACCGGATGAGTTCAGAAATTTAAACGATGTCTCCTCCCGACTCCCGGACACTTTATGAAAATCAGCTCGTTAATAAAATCGTCGAGTGTTGACCGATGTCTTGGCACACGAACTCACTCGTCAGAAGAACGGAATACAAAATTAACGAAGTGTGCATTTGTTCTTAAATTATATTATAAATGATAATAATAAAAATATTTCGCCACGATTTATAGAGTCGTCTCAAGAATATAACCCCCATTACGTAATTGCGTGCCAAATGAAAAGTTAAATCACGTTCGGGTCTTAAAATCGAGTTTCTCGATCCGGAATCTTTACCCCCCATTAACTTTCCGTCGTGTCCAAGTATTAAAAAATTAACAAGATATTTTCCACCGCAAGCTCACCGTCTGCGGAGGACGTATTCATTCTTTTGTAACCCTAAAAAACAAGTCATTACCGAAGCGGGTTTAATCCAGCATCGTGTTCTGGAGATTTTTTCGTGATATTCTATTATTCGGAGGCGATCGCTCGACGCGGCGCGACGGGCACCGTTTACGCTAAAATGATATGATTAATTACGAGTACCGGTAGCTCCGGTCTCCCTCATTAGCGCACAAATAGGATCGCTCAATGGTGAAATTGAATCTTGAACGCTGGCAAACCACACTCAATAGGACTCTAATTATAATTATTATTCATATTAAATAAATGCCGGCATTTCGGTGTTTTGTTATGATTGTTGTTTAAATTATTGTGGATTAGAATAACACATTTAATAACCTGGTTATATGACTAGAGTTATGATTTCTAAGAATGAAAGGCTGGTACTTCATTCACTAAATCACTTTTATTGGGCTCATTAGGGCTAATATTTTTAGTGTTTATGTGGTTAAGAGACGTTAGCGTCGCTATAAAATTTAATAACCTGATAATAATAATAATATAAGAGTGAGCATGTCACAAGATTTGAAAAAGAAACGTTAACACGTTCAGTCGTTTACAGTGGCAACAAATTATTCATAGGCCAATATAATTTGCAAACAAATGATATGACTGTACACCTAAGACTTTTCTTTTGCTTCTTACATAAATAAAGAAGGCATCACGTCTCATAATCCACGTACAAAGAAACGTAAACATGAGTGACGTACTTATCTTTTGTAATACCTAATGTCGTAAATATGAATGTGACAAGAAATTCGTTCTTTACTGCAGATTTGGGGGTCGCGAGAATATACGTTGAAAACTACATATTTTGTGGTTCTGTTTTTAGGTACAGTCGTAAAAAGGGAAAATTCATTTACGCTCTGATTTTTTTGCGTATTTGTCTTATGAATAGAGAAAAAGTTGGTATACTAGTGGTACTCTTTCTTTATGTCTGGCATAAGGGAGGCTCATGGACTTATAAAAATGTATGAACAGGGTCTTACAAAAGAAAAATATTTGCTACGATATTTATGCACTTTGATCGTAGCGTTTGTTTAAATTAAAAACTGTTTAAAATTCGTACTTTACATAAATTTATGATTACAATGGGACTTAAATACTACCTAAACAAAATTTTATTCGAGTTGAATTGAATTCGAAGTACAAGTTCGTAGTCTTGTATGTATACCTAGGTAAGTTTCGTTGGCCGACGCTGGGTACTTATCAGCCACTCGTTGCAGAACTTCAGTAGATTATTATCGTTGATATTCGAGATTTATTACCGCCGTACTAATAAACGTTTTCTCATACTCCTTTTCACCATTTCTGTCTTCATTTTTTATTAAGAAGTTATGGCGTTTATAATTCGCAATGTTTTATGTCTAAACATTACATCTACCTACGTTAGCGTATTTTTCCATGCAATTTAATGTTACTATCATCATAAAGTTACATTTTATAGCTAACTGTAAAATGTTTAAAATATCTTGAAATAAATATCTCAAGGAAATCTATTAGATCTGAACACGTAGATAAGTGTATCTAATATATGTATCATAGTAAGCAAGAAGAGATTACCTTTCACATGTATTCACGTGCGGTGCATCGCCCGCCGCCCTCCAGGGTCCACAATCCGGATTACGATACCCTATCTATATCACAAGCTTCCACCTAGCTTAGCACTAAAGCCTACACTAACACAATTGACTGCAACAACGATCGGTAACCGTCCACTTAACACTAAATAAAACTCTAACATTAGTTAACATGATAAAATGAACAAAAATCTCGACTACAATGCGAAAGTAACAAAAGAGGAAAAAGTTGCGTCACATCGTATTTACAGTGGACAATGTGAACATGTAAGTAGGTAACTGGTCCGAGGTCCGAATTATCGGGTGACGTGTTTCAGTGGACCCAGGAGGGGGCGACGGAGTAGGGCGTTCGAGCCCCGTTGCCTCCCGACAACGTGGTCGGGACAGGCGGCGCGGGCGCAGCAAACTGGCTCTCAGCCTCCGCTGCCATGCCACTGTGCTGCTGCGGGAAGTTGAAGTCAAGCGTGCCTTCCATACTTAACTCGTGTTTAATGACCTAATGGCAAAATTATTGTATGTTAATTCGCAGCTTATGATGATTGTTGGTCGTACTTGTTGATTGAACTCGTAAAACATTTAGATGAATAGTATAACACGAGGATCAACCTTACCTCATCAACATTACAGTCGAAAGCGTGGTCGAGGGTCTCAATGTTGAGGTCTTCCGAGAGCCCCGTGTTTAACGCGCCCATTATCTGACCCATCACTGTGGTGGGCCCCATCGCTCCTGTTTGTACCATCATGCCACCGTTCATAAGGGCTGCGTCTGAGGTCGTCACCATTTGCGGCTGATTGTTTTCTGTACAAGAAAAATGTTATAAAATACAAAGCACATTCAGATTGTCTCAATGGATTCTATAGCAACTACATATAGGTACATAAGTTTGAGACTATCAGGCCTCACCTGTTTGCATAATATCAGCAGGGTCCGCAGGAGGCGGCGGCCTGACGAAATGGTCAAGTGCATGTTGGTGAGGACGCGTTGGATGAGCTGGGTGCGCGGGGTGCGTGTACAGGGAGCACGTGCAGCTCCCGTGCGGGTGTCGCGGACACCCACTATAAGGGCTATACCGGTAGCTGCCCCCCGAAGACGAAGATGTGGTTGTTGGAACGTACCTGGTAAAAACAGTCGTGTAATGCCACTATCCTGGAAGCTAGACGTTAAGCTTCATTTATTGTTCTTTAATAGTCTTCTCACATTCAGAATAATTGATACCATTAATAAGCGCATTGAAAGGTCGTAAATGGTTTTTCATTTCAATTTCAAATCCATAGGTCTAAATATTTAGTCTGCTGTCTTGAGAAAATCAAAGAATCTAAGGAGTTCTAAATAAAGCGAAGCGTACTCTAGGGCAAGGCGTTTACGACAATAACTGTTTAAGTGGCCGAGGTCGGACTTTTGGACTCTAACCAAAATTCCTTCACCGACGCGAGGCTTACTACAAAATGCTTACGTGTTAAGGAATGGATCTGTTCCTGCCAGTTTCATGGAATCGGCGAGAGAGCCAGCAAGTTCGTCTTGTCCGAAGTCCGTTTGAGCGTAATCGTTGGTAGTGTAGTCAGCATAATCTGGACCCCAATCAGGTTCTGTCGGGATCATTGATGGGATCGGAGACAGGCGGCCGCACGATGACGCGTTCGAAGACACCCTCGGACGGAAGTCCGGCGACAACTGGAAACTGCTACGCGCAAGCGAAAGAAGCAATCAAAAAAACGATACCTATCTTAACTGGCGATGTGAATTATGTGATCTGACGTAAAACTAAGTATATTGATATAACTTTTGATTCAAATGTACAAACAGACACATAATTTCCTTATCGACAGTTGAGACGCAAAAAATCATAATGGTTAGCAGAAATAAACCTTAAAGCTAAGTCGGACTCTATACAATCTCAAACAAGAAGTGTAATGGGGAGCATGCAAATCTAATGCCTATTTCTTCACTAACAAATAAATTTGTATGCTAAATGAAGCGGTGACTATAACGGGGTTCAGCGGTCATCTCAGAAATATCTTTATTACTACAAATAGTGACAAAATGTGGGATAAGATACGGGTTATAGACCGGCCCTTCAACAGTCACCGAACCATTGAAAATATATGTCGATGACGCTCGTAATCCAGATAAAATAAATCGCCTATAAAAATGTTAAATATCGGCGAAATGACGAGATTCAGCATCCACATAACTCATCATCTAATGGTTGTGAATGATTTAAAACCTTTTATCATAAAGTAGCAGAGTTGCAATAACTCAATTTTATTAGTCTGGTCAACGCAGCTTTATGTCGATGGTTTTATTATAGAGTAAGCGTATCATGCGTTGCTCACTTTGTTTCTATTAGTCGTAAAATTTCAATATTCCCAAGGAGGTAACGTTATTTAGTAATAATGTGCAATCGGCTATATTTGTGGTTCTGGCAGAACTCGCTTCTGCATTACCCGTATAGGTAAGTAATAGTGCCTTTAAAGTCAAATTAGTATCGTGAAACAACGTCCGAGACCGTTACCATTATTGGCTTGGTGCCACTACTCTTTTGGACTTTCCTCTACTTTAATCTACCTGTATCACTTAGAGAACGGTACTACATTTCTAAATAATGTTCTAGTTCTATTGTAAGCTGCGAACATTTCGCTAAGAAACATTGTGTTACATAAAAGGTTATTTAGTTACCTGTGCATCGGTGAGTCTGGGAACATATCTTGACTTTCTGATATTGAGCTACTTGGACTTGGAGTGGCGTCTGCTGGTGCGCCGTTTCGTAATGCTTCAGCCTATAAACAAAGCCATGTTTTGCAATGTGCTACTTAGTGTTATTTTCCTGACGATAATTTTAAGACATACAAAATAACTTTTAACAGTTACTAGTTAATCGTATAAATACAATATTTAATCTAAAATGATATATACAACATCAATGACAAGGGATATTTTCTCTATATTATTGTCTAATGTCATACCTTCTTCTTTACTCTGCCTCTTCGTTTTTCGAATTTGGACGTCTCCATCGATGCAGCCCGCCGTCTGACGGACTTGCCCGGCTTCGCATCAGGATTGATCATCCACCATGATGATTTCCCCGTACCCTCGTTTTGTACCCGCATGAACCGATTGTGAAGGGACAGATTGTGTCTGATTGAATTCTGTAAATAAAAAGAGAATATTAATATATTGAAAACTCGGGGCTCTCTGGCTATATTTTAGGTCAGGAATAATTATTTTTCGTAATCTGTACTTTTTGATGAGTTTGCAAGAAATTTAACCTTATTACATGGGATTGGAACATATTTGAGGAAAAGTGAGTGCATCTCACTGGTCAGAAAACGAATGATTGCATCTCTAGGTACATGTCCCTTCTGGGAATAAACGCTTTGATTTTATATTTAGATGAAATATTCTTGAAACTATAATTTAATAGGATAGAATTTTAGATTTTAAATGAAACTGTCGGTTTATTTCCTTTATTGCATTAATTTAGGGAAACGTAATTTTCCTTAATATGAGTGTGCTTTACCTTTCCTTATACTTATTATTGTAAAATTACAATAATAAGTTACACACTTAAATAAGTGTGTAACAAAATGATGAGTGTAGGAAATACAATGGTAGGTAAAATACTCTGTGCCTAACCAATTTATTTACATATCTATGACTATATGGATGAATAATGTAGTTATTAATTAGTAAGAAATTTGTTCGCATTGTTGGATTTAAAATAGTACCATGACATAATGTACCTACTCTTTGTTTAAGTCGGTACAGATACTTGAATTTTGAGATAAGGTAACATTAAAAATAAGGCAATAAACGTCAACGATCCTCGCGATATCCGGGCGTGGTCAAAGTTGACCACAAAAAAAACTATTTTAATTCCCGCTACCGTTAAAAGTTAGTGCAATAACGTGTCCTATCTCACACCGGCAATAAAATCTCGCAACTTTTTCCCGTCGAAGGAATAAAAGCGACCGCAGCAACGAATGAAGTTTCGCTATAAAACAGTCCATAAATAATATCTGCGTGCCCTGTGAGAACTGCCACTTATGGTAACTATACGAGTACGCCACTCCATTATAAATATGTGCATTCTTCAGATTCTACTCATGAAATAAAAAGTAGGTACGACATCATTCATTTTTATACATTTCCAACGGATTTTTACGGGTAGTTTAACAAGAATGTCTGTCATTTTAAGGTTTCAGCTCGAATGCATAAATTTTGGATACCTCTATCTACTATGTAAATCACTCAAATTTTATGTATGCGGTGGGAGGAATCGTTTCTTGTATTTGCGCAGTATACGTAGAATGCTGGTACCCCAGGCAATACCGTACATCTATTGATGTTCGGTTTTATTATGGAAAACTTTGACGGATGCCGATCCGACTTTCAAACTACGTCATATGAAATTCATGGTGGATGTAGAAAATTTATTTTCAAAAAATTATAATATTATTATAAGAGAAACGTTAAAGCTGTAGAGTCTGTAGATGAATATAAATTATTTAATGATATATACGCGTATTCCTATTAAGTGTGCCCAATTAAGTTTATGTGATGTACAACAATTGGACGTGTACATAAATCCAGTAAATGTGGACAACTCCCGCGATTTATCAAGCGTGAAAACACACGCAACAAATGGCCTGTCGACGCCTTGATGGATTTGTCGCCAAGAGCCCTTACCATGAATTACGTGAGCTATAACAGTGACAACCTCGCGTTGATCTTCGAACGCCCCTGTCAACGATGTATAAAATCTCGGTCCGTTCGCAACGCGAACTTTCGAGTTTCAAAAACGAGTGCTCGTGACAATTTATAGTAGGTTTTACCGATTCGCCATATTATTTAGTATCATGTTTTAGATATTTTGTCATTTTATTATTTTGAAAACAGCTTCTCGTAGACAGTTTTTTCAGCAAGAGGCTCTGTTGGGTATACTACCTGGACTATGACATTTTTAATAGCATTTAAAGACAAATTATAAGACTAATGCCAATCATTCCCATTCAAACTACTTATTCGACTCTTTTAATATTCATACGACTCTAAATATGGATAAATTATAATGTTATTTAAGCCTAGTTTGCTGAATGATATTTTTTTTTCATTCAACAAGGATTATTATTACAATTTATTGTACCAATTCACATCGATACTTTATTTATGTTGGCAAACTATTATAGGGAGATATAGGTAAACCCTATACTATGTTTATTTTATAGAGGCCTCAATATTAATGTTTCTGATATAATAATTTCAGGGATATAATTTATGGGCAGTAAAGATATATAGTTTGCTGACAGGCAACTAAGTTAATCGAATTTTCTGCTACTATGCCATCACGTTCGTGGCTTTTCATGTAATTTACCTGTTTTTTTTTCGGCGGTATATATTATGGTTTATACGGCCGTATTTCTCCACGCTTCAGTGAAGATTGAACGGGTACCGAATGCGGTACTTTGTACAAAGAATGCGAGGAACATAATCTGACATGAAGCGCCGTATCTTATGCCACTACTATAAATCTGTGGAGATTGTGCTCGTGTATTTATAAATTTATGAAAAAAAAATCTCCACGAAAAATATGCGAATACTTTACGAAAAAACCTAACATATTTTACTTGGCAAACTTTTATAAAAAATTGGCAATGTTCGTCACATGTTAGTATGTACTATGTGTCGAATTATTACACATCCTTTAGTGATTCAGAACTAGTAGGTAAGTAATTGCTATACGTAACGGGTTAATAATACAGGTCACATTCATGCACATTTAATTACACACATCCACAGTAAATTTCCTGTATTCGAACGATAATAATGTATAATAAGTACATCTCGCATTCCTATTATAATTACTATGCCCTAACTTTCTTATCTTCCTTGTTATTAAGAACAAAGTATCAGAGTTAATAAGGTTTGAATGTAATATTTTAATTATACAAGACGGTTCTGTACAATTTTAATTATACAAGGCGAATGCGATTCAAATTAGGAATATATCGCAGTGTGCCAATTCCAGCACTTTGTGAAATGAACATCGCGACAAGCGTCGCACAAACCGGGGCAAGACATCGTACTTAGAATTTTGTCTACGGCAGGATCTTTGGCGCCACTGCGACCCTTATGGGGTGAATTAACCGTCTACGCTGTCTACAGTCCCCTTTAATGCTCCACCGACTTAAATTTTGTCGAATTTCCACCGCTATTATATAGCGTTACGCAATCTTCGGGCGATGGCTTATGATTTCCGCTGTTTATAGCGTTCGTTTGTTTTCTGAGAGCAATCACTTCGGAATCACAAGCCTGCTGATTAGTAACGACGTGATAGTTTACTTCGATCCCGTTTTGCTCTTTTCGACGAGAATTTTCGAACGTAATAAAATAAATTCGGTTTGGTCTGATAAGTTTCTGATTGGTTCGCTGGGGTTGGTTGATAATCACGCAATGCTTATAACCGTAATTTGTCAGTGAATGTTTGTTAAAACTTTTTATTAGTGAATGTATCTTCCCCTTTTTTCGGCTCCAGGAAAACTATGGATAAAGCGACGGTGTAACCAATTGTTGAATAATTCAGTGATATTATCCTCTTAGGTTAACATGCTCAGTGCATATACGATGGACTTTCAAAATGAATTTTAATGTATTACAAATACATATCTACTATGACTATATTCAACTTTTTATTGGAATATGTTATGTTAGTGCGACCTACTTACGCAAGAAAAATGAAAAAAGATACTTATTCAATTATAATAATTTTGAATCTTTAGTGGTGATATTTTTACCAGTGCAATATTTATTCACAATCAAAAATGATTAAGAAAGGGTTGACTATAATTGAAATTCATTTCAATTTAGGATGACCTACACAGTAATACCTTTGAATTAAAAAAAATATCAAAATTACGTAAGTTTAAAGTAGTCAAGTCTCCTATGTCCTTCGTTCGGTCTTCAGACAATGCGTCACAGCCGAATGTATGCGCATATAAAAATTTAGTACTGTTATTAGATGAATGAAATTATGGAAGCTACCGAACGTACGATACATATTCTACGTAGTTTTACTAACCTCCCGTCCCTTTGTATTTACTTTTATAAGTAGGTGAGTGCTGGCGAGTAGGTACTGCATGTACCCATTTCTTCAATACCCATGAAGTCCATTTAGGAATTCAGTTCATAATAAGACAGACAATAGTTATAGAGATAGTTCTATTAGTAAGCAAATGTGTTCGGTATAGTCATATACTTTTTTATCTAACTAGTCCTCCACAAAGAGAGTAAATTTGCTTTTACTATAACGAACCCTTCTTATAACACTATAAGATAGAATTTTCTTTAAAGGGTTAATGTCATATTCATTCTGTCAAAGTAAATTCATTTGTCCATCTCCATAATTAAAACACACACACATCTCCATAATGTCGTGGTGGCCCGGAGGTTTAAGACGCCCACTTCTCATGCATGAGGGTGCGGGTTCGAAACCTACCAACGGCAAGTACCAATGTGACTTTTTCCGAGTTATATGTACTTTCTAAGATTATTTAGACACCACTGACAAACGGTGAAGGAAAAACATCGTGAGGAAACCTGAACTTATAATTTCTAATTATAAGTTTGAAATCGCCAACCCGCATTGAGCAAGCGTGGTGATTAATGCTCTAACCTTCTCCGTGTGAGAAGAGGCTTTGCTCAGCAGTGGGCATTTATAGGCTGTTGATGATGATAATTAAAACCTCTTCATCGCTCTCTTGGGTACACGACGGGAAAACGTGTGAGCAATCGACACGCAGCACCTTCATCAGTCGAAGAGTTCAATAACGAAATTGAATTGACTGAACATTGTAATAAGGCATATTGAAGAAGTCGTTTCATCTGAACATCAAATGGAAGAACAAAACCGCGACTTAATTACAACAAACCCAATCGATATTCGATACAAAGAAATCAGAATACTTATACATTAATGAAATGAAAAAATATAAAGCGTTCGAAATATTTCCGAAGTGTTAAATCAAATAATAAATAATTCAAATTAGAGAATCGAGATTACACAATAAGGGGCGTCGGCCCGAGGGGGAGCCACAAACGTGACGGCCCCAAGAAATTTGGAAGAAACCCGGTGACGTGTCAACCGCCACTG